CCCCAAAACCCCAAAACCCCAAAACCCCAAAACCCCAAAACCCCGTGGTTCAGATTTAAGATTGAAATTTCAAATTACTGAATTCTATGATCCAAAGCTTGATCTTCTTCTACTTATTAGCCTGAATCAGTGCTTGCTGATTATTCAGTCTTCATAGGAAATGCTGTTGTTCTGAAACCAACTCTACTAGTAGACCTGATAGTCCATTGAGCATTCTCTGCGGGATCTTGGTCTTTGAACCAATCCTTAGTAGACTCATGCTTTCTGGGAGAACCTCTCTCTTGAGAAACAGCTATTTATCAGTTAATATATGAAAGATGAGAAATATTTAGAAGAAAGTACTTACTTGAAGCTTTAGTCGGCACTATATCCTGTTGATTTTCATGAGAAAGCATTCTCTCATCCCGCTTTCCATATGCTGTCTGGACTCTTTTGAAGAAAGTTGCTCTCTCTTGACCCATGGCTTGAGCAGAGGTAGCCTCATTTTCATAAGCCTGACTTGGATTAGTTCTCTGCTTTAATTTTTCTTCCTTTCGTTCTCTCTCTTTCTGTCTCATCAAAGCCTCCTTTGAACTAGGAGGAGAGTTGAAAACTCCTTTAGGATTGAAGGAAGAAAATAGCGGTCTTAGATCGGCTTGTGGAGGATGTTGCTCTATCACTCTCTTATCTTTCTTTGCATGCAAGAGAATCCCATTACTCCATCTCATCTTAGTGGCTTTTCTCTTAATTTTCTTAGTCAACTTTTTAAACACATTGTTTGGCTTCTCAGGAATCTCTTGTGATTTATTTTATCATCACATGAATTTTGGGGTTCTCAAAATTTTCTTCTCAGTTATCTAGGGACATGATATCTTTAGAATTTTTCATTTTAATTTTAAGAGCAAGCTTGAGCTGGGATACTTCCTTCGGATTCTCTTCGTATCCTTTCCTTGCAGTCCACCATTTCTTAGCATGCTTGTGAAAATTTGGTAACGGATTATTATGAATCCCGTATTTAACATTGGGCTCAAATTCTTCTTTCTTATTAATGACTATTTTGGGATCTCTTACTGAAAGTCTCATGAAGCAATTTTCACGGCTTTGAAGCCTCTGTTCGGAATTTTTATAATTGACAACTTCTTTCTCATATTTCCGCATATCTTGCAAAAGAGATTTCTTTCTTTGCTTAAAAAGTTTTGACCTACAATTGATCTCAGGCTGCTTGACGTACTGAAGAGTCGGACCCCTTGGATCCGACTCTTGGGTCTTTATCTCAGCCTGAGATTTCGAGTATCTAGGTTTTGGCTTGACTTTCTTTTTAGCGAGATTAGTGTGAATTTGCATTCGTTTGAGTTCAGCTTCAGATTTATTTCTCACAAATTCTTCCATCTTGAGCTGTAAATCTCTTTGCTCCTTAGCGAGTTTGCCTTTCTTGAGTGCGGAAAGAGTAGAGTATTCTTTACCATATCCTGAAATCTGTTCATTACGTTTAAGATCAGCATTGGCTTGGTATACATCAAAGGCATCGTCGATGGTAAGTCGATCTTCAGTATCAACAGGGTTCTGTCTTAGACCTGCGGAAACAGTCTCATAATGAGGTATTTGCCCTGGTATTTCTTGTAGAAGTACAGAATCTCGCAAATTTTGGCTTCTCCTCATCTCTAATAGGCCTGTTCTAGTCCTGTTGTTCCTCACTGTTCGTGATTGAGTGGTTGTAGGCCTCTGTTCACAAGTGCCCCACCAAGAAGGAATTTTAACCAAATCCATTTCTGAAAATTTTATTTTTCAATTTTAGAGATTTATTAGGGGTTTTGGGGTTTTGGGGTTTTGGGG